ACTCCTAAGGAGAGAGAGAGAGAGTCCCCTTTACGTGACTGGGGAAGAAGCAGAAAGATAAGGATAGAAATTGGGATGAAAGGAATGTGGAGAGAGAGAGAAGATCGTGAAGGAGGGCGAGTGTGGGGGAAGAGAGAAGGACAGGGTAACTATGACCACTTTCCACCTATATGTAGCGTTATATTAAATTGTTTGCTAATGAACTGAATGCTTAAATTCCTACAGTTATATCATGAATTAGATCTGAAGCACCATTTTCAGTAATAACCAATCAGAAGATTTAAATGTTTTGTTACTAATGAAGCCTTCACTATGTAGATTCTATTTCTGTTTATTTAGAACTAAACAGATCTTGTTCAATGTTGAATGACTTTTAGAGCTTCATATCATCTCCTTGAGTTATCTTGTACAATTTTGGGACTTTGTTGTGATGCTGATGGCTGTTCATACTTCATAATATACTTGCATAGCAATCTTCATTTTTTTTGTTTTCAGTCCAAGGAAGAATGTGAGTATCTTATTGAGCTCGCGAAACCTCATATGCAGAAGTCATCAGTTGTTGATAGTACTACTGGTAAGAGTAAAGACAGCAGGTAAGCAATATTCGGTGTTTTTTTTTCCTCGATGTTTTGTTTGCAGTTGGAGAATTTCAACCTTTACAACAGTTGTGGGTGTTCTGCATCTTGATTATTTAGGGTCCGAACAAGCACAGGCATGTTTCTTCCAAGGGGACAAGATAAAATAATCAGGGTTATTGAGAAAAGGATATCAGATTATACCTTTATCCCAGTTGGTATGTTACTGGTTTCCTAAATGTGTTAGAACTTGAATGCTGAAATGTTGTTTGATTTTGTACATGTTCTTCTTTATGATAGATGCACCAAAATTTTTAATTTGTAGATCAAGACAAACGAAAGGAATTGTTCATTTGGGGAACCTCTAATGGATAAGAAAGGGATTAGCTGACTCAAGTTTCTTATGACATTACAACTATATCTGTCAGAATTGAAGTATCTTGATGAAATGATGGAAAGAGAATAAATGAGCATATAAAGAAGCAAAAAAGTGGAAGAAAAATGGAAAATTTGAGACCAAGAACTAGTTTAATCGTGATGTTGATTTAATCTCGAATAGATAGTAGATTTTTTAACAGAATTATTTCCTATTTCTCAGGGTCCTGAATAACTACTCTAGAAATATAATGTTTGCTTTTGCAAATAGAAGTTTGGATATATTATATAAAGCAGATGGAACTAAGAATGATGATAAATAGTTCAGTTACAGTGATGGCTGTATATGCACAGTGTTAAGATAACTACATATAGCAGCTTGTTTGAATAACTTTTTCTGCACAAACGTTATCTTTTTCCTTTTTGTTGGTGCAAAGGATGTATTGCTTAATAAGAGCTAATGTTCATGTAAAATTTCTAGCAAATCGGCATGAAGTTTAAGTAGTGTTAGTGTAGATTCTAGTTGTCCGAGTTGGGATAGTGATTCGGATCCAACCAAGGTCCGTTCCGAGTCAATCTCACTCAATGTTCATAGAGTGTCGAACCAAAACTAGGTCGGGGGCATTTTCGACAAATGCCCCTCCAGAAATTAAGTCAGTTCTTGGGTATGGTCCAGTCGAATTGGCCGGTTAATACTTAAGTGAAGTAGTGTCCGTGAGATCGTACCTGGGGTTTTTTGTATAGGTGACTATAAGGAAGGTTACGTCCGGAATCGTCAACAGTAAGAGGGGAACGTGTAATGTTTTCGAGCGGAGACTTGGTGTGATGTTCACTGAACTTGACGCTTGCATAGGCTGGCCATGCCAATGACAAGTTCGGACGGTCTGTCGTTCGGCCACATACCACCTTGTGATGAGTACATGTCTTGCGATCCAACCGCCACCGATCAGCCACATGTGATCCCTATGTTCTTTGGCTATTGGCTCGTTAGCTCGTCAACTCGTCGGACCATCAGACCGTTGGCCTGTTGGACCAACGATCCATCAAGCTATTGGACTGTTGGCCATGTGTCATCACGTGGTGGTGTTGTATCTAACATGTTACTCTTCACCTATCACTAGCCCACTCACTTCTGGGTCGATGGATTGTAGAGTTATCAAGCCAAGAAGTGCTCTGGCCTACACTGTTGACTTTGATGGTGGGTTTATTCATCATCTTTTTTATCATGTGTTATTGAAATGCACGTTCGGCTCGTAGGCAGTGCGTCGTTGAAATGCGCGTTCAACCCATAGGCTATGCATCGTCGAAGTGCATATTTGGCCCGTAGGCTGTGCATAATCGAAGCCGCCATGACGCCTGCATCATAACTCATTCAATCGCTCCCTATTAATCTTCCTCCCCTCGAGGTGAGCAATGATGTAGTTGATGATTGCCCAAAGGAGCTGGTGTCAGCTTAGACTAAGTAGAAAAACTTTAAGGGTTGGAGGCCACCAATGTAAGCATTAATTAAGACGGATGAGCTTGTGTCAGCTACTAGTTTTACTTTATCATTGAACCACTTGGTGTAGCTTGTTAGAGATTCCTTACCCATTTGTTGTATAGCTAAGAGAGAGATTGTAGGTTTCTTTGGCAATTTATAATAAAGTTGAGCTCGAACTCTTTAACATGTTGCCTGAAGAAGTAGTTCGACTCCTAAGGTAACTTAGAGAACCATTTCCTCATCGCCCCTCCAAGAGTTGTCGGGAAAGCACGTTACATGAGGGAGTATGTTGACCTAAACAATGTCATTTGTGAGATGAATGTAGCTATATGTTCAGTGGGGCTAGAGCTTCCTTTATATAGTTCCAAGGTTGGCATTTGGAATCCTCGTGGGATTGGCTCCTCCATAATACTTTTGAAGAAGGGGGACCTTAGATACAAATCAACTTTAGGCTGTTTCTCTTGCCTGATTTCCATTTTGATATCCTCCGACCATTGGCCTATCTCGAAGAGCTAGACTTGCACATTAGGAGGGAGTTCGACCAATTAAGAGACTGACTCCTTTGATCCCTCTGGCTCTTGGGTTTGATTATCGAATGGCCCGTGAGGGAGGTTTTGAGGAGAGTTATTCCCTTGGGGTAAATCAGTTGTGAGAGGGCATGACTCTACCATTAAGCCGGGGGCTAGAGTAGGTGGCAGGATTAGAGTTGGGAAATGGAGGCTGAGTGGAGCTGGGTGTGACCCATGTTGTGCAATTTGGACTAATTGTGGAAGATAAGGGGCCACAATCTGTAATACCTCGGTCGGAAATTGAACTTATTGAGTTAGGTTGTGGAAGAATTTTATAGACTATAACACCCCCAATTAGTCTCACATCGGAAGTGAGCAAGACTAAGATTGACTTAAGGGTCTGATCGGTGCACTACTGTCAACCTTCAACATTTTGGCCAGTGGTTTGGGTTGAATAGAGTTGACAAGCCAGTTAGCCCATCAGGCTCGAGTCATGATTAATGGTATTAGAGCCGACCTAGCATTGAGGCATCATGAGAAGCTCGAGTTGAAAAGGGCTACTCGTGGATGGAGTTAGAGAATTCGTCACAACGTGGAGTCACTTGGGTTATGACTGCACCATGCTATGGTTTAATCTAGGTTATGCTGGATCTTGACGAGAACGTCAAGCCCTTGAGTGGAGACAAGACTAAGATTGACTTTTAAAGGTTTGATGCGTATACTACTGTTAACTTCAGCCTAAGCATTTTGACCATTGGTTTGAGTTCAATAAAGTTAATAGGCCAATTAGCCCATTAGGTTTAGATCGTGATAGTTTCTGCGGGTGTGGTTATGGTCTAAGCTAATGACGTTGGAAGCTAGGCAAGTGGTGGTGGGTTGGCCATTGAATCTTGGAATAATTGATGAAAGAGTAGAGGATTAGGTAATTGGAAAGTGGGAGGAGTGAGTCCAATCGAGGGCTCGGGCTGAATCTACCTTGGGAGTATCGAGATTGATGGGTTTGGCAATAGGACGTTCGACCCATTCAGTCCGTTCGGCACGTTTGATCTGTTGGGCTCTTCGAGATTCAGCTTGGATGGTCTTGTGAAGTTTCCTTAAGACATCTTAGCGGTCCTCCTTCAAGCACCAATTTGTTAGTGCAGATTTTGGTTGTCCGAGCTGGGATAATGATTCAGATCCAATTTGGGTCAGTTCCAAGTCAATCTCACTCCACTTCACTATTTGCAAAGGGTCGATCCTACAAAACTAGGTTGGGGGCGTTCCCAACAAATACCCCTCTGACGATCAAGTCAGTACTTGAGTCGGACTAGTCAACTAATATTGAAGTGAAGTAGTGTTTGTGGGGGCGTCCCCAGGGGTCTTTTTCATAGGTGATTTTGAGGACGGTTATGCCCAGAATCACTAACGATAAGAGGGGAACGTTCAGCATTTTTGGGCAGAGACTTGGTATGATGTTCATTGAACTGACACCCACATAGGCTGGCTGCACCAATCACGAGTTTAGACGACCTGCTGCTCGGCCACGTATCACCCTATGATGAGTACATATCTCGTGATCCGATCGCCACCTGTTAGCAATGTGTGATCCCCGTGTTCTTTGGCAGTTGGCTCATTGGACCGTCGGTCCGTCAGACCGTTGGCCCATTGGATAGTTGGCCCGTTGGACCATTTGATCGTTGGCCACGTGTCGTCACGTGATGGTGTTGTATCCGACATGTCACTCTACAACTATCAAGGAGCATATATCTTGTCACATATGACTTCAAGCCTTCAGTTATTAAGTGCTTATTTAGATGCTAATCAATTTGTTTTATGCATGACTTTTACTTAACAATCTTTATTCTATACTTACACCTTTATCTTGTTTTGCATTTCATATTTGTCATCATTTTGTTAGCCCTTTTCTTCATATTTTGTATCCTTTATTTGATTTCCTTTTTATAGAAAATGGGGAGGGGCTTCAAGTGCTGCATTATGAAGTTGGACAAAAATACGAACCTCACTTTGACTATTTCCTTGATGAATTTAACACTATGAACGGAGGTCAGCGAATGGCTACTCTTCTAATGTATCTGTATGTATCACCATTATGTACATCGTAGATATCTTTGAGATTGTTTTATGGTTGGTTCAAGTTTCTTAGAAGCGAAATATCATAACATCCTATATTTTGTTGATTTGTTTTGTGAATTGTAGTTCGGATGTTGAAGAAGGTGGCGAGACAATTTTTCCAAATGCAAAAATAAACAGCAGTTCATTACCATTGTACAATGAGTTATCAGAGTGTGGAAAGAAAGGCATTTCTGTTAGACCAAAGATGGGAGATGCACTGCTCTTCTGGAGCATGAAGCCTGATGCCACTCTAGACCCATTAAGTTTACATGGTTAGTTGCTTCCCGTTCCTAGTTAGAAAATTAAATTTAAGATGGAGTTTTAACCCAAGGAAAAAAAATAAAGATGTGGGTTGTAAAAGACTAGCATAACCTGTGTTTTGCTTTGATTGATGTTGCTGTTTCATCATCAAATTTGCTCCAATTGACTAAAATTTTCTTTGTCAGTTGCAATTTAGTTTTTAATTTGTAAGAATTTCTACCGGTCTTATACTGCTATCCAAATATTGATTGATTCTTGCAGGTGGATGCCCTGTGATCAGGGGAAATAAGTGGTCTTCTACAAAGTGGATGCATGTCCATGAGTATAAAGTTTAATGTAAGGTATCTTCTTGCTTAACGAGCTGTTTACAAAAGTCTTATTAGTTTCATATTTCATCGACATTTCTCCAGGTACAAATTAGATTTAGAGCTAAATTGATTCCTCCAAATGTTTTGAGTATGCTTCCTTCACCAGTGACTGTTTATTATTTGAACTCTGGCAGTTGTCTTTTCTTTCCAAACTTCAGTTCTCTTTGACTTGCTTATTTCCAACTGCAAGGATATTGTGTCTGAAAATAACAAATCTTGAATTGTTACATTATAATATCCACAAAGATGCAGACTTACTTTTACCATTTAGGTCAGATTAAAATGGTATGCCTCGTTTACTGGGTATGCCCTTTTTTTTATCAGATTAAAATAGGAGCATATTACAAAATTGGTTATGGACATAAGATGTGCCAGTAACAAAAAATTCTGACTCTATTTGTGCCTTCGATTCTTGAGACTTCTAGATATTTGATTTCCTTCAGTCGTATGAACACTTTTGTCATACATTTTAGTGCCATCTTATTCCATTTATGAATGGTGCATCAATTCAAAACATGAGAATAATAAGTTGGTGAAAAGGAATCTATTGTTCTGCTCTAGGTGAACTCACGGCTCTTCTTTTAGAGATGTTCAAGTAAGATAATGAATTTTGGTATGACAGTGATTTAGAATGGAGCAATTAACTTGGGTTTATGCTATGATACTTAGCTTCACATAATATGGTCAAAATAAGCATCTTTGGCTTCATCATGTTATTTGTATCAACTACAATTTCCTAATTCCTGCTTATAGATCTCTAGATTAGATAGTGGTATTTCTCTTCTGTCACAAGGTACAAAGTAGTAGAGAATATTAGTGATTTGTACCATTTAAGATGCAAGGTTGGTTTACATTACAGAAAATCATATTGTGAGCTTAAATGGTATGGTTTCATGCCATCAAACAAATTGTGTTGACCATGGAATGGTCTGTTCCTAGTTGTGAAGTTAGAGACAACAGAAGTCAATATTTGGGTATTAACTAAAGGATCGGGGCTCTTAAACTAAAAGATCCTTTTTTCTTTCACTAATCTAACTGGAGCGGACCATCTGAAATGGGGCAGTCCACGAACAGGCACATGCCTGGACCAATAAATACTTGTTAGTATGGACCGCCAGGTGAAATCAAGTTCCTTGCTTTCAACTTATCACAATCAGTCTCCTCGTTCCAATAGTGCCTTGGACTTTTGGAAGTGCATGCCCTTGGTTTTAACCCCTTTTTAGTCTGAAATAGATCCTAGGGCACCTAACTTTGTGATATATCAAAAGAAGAAACTTGTTAATAAAAGTTAAATAAGTTGATGGTGATACTAGAAAAGCATGCTTTCCTCTAGTGCATTCATATGCCAGGAGTCGCCTTTTTATATGGTTTAAGAAAGGCATGCCTGGCCAAGAGCCAGATAAATATATTCTCCGAAATTTAGTTAATGGCAGCAGTTATGATTAAGTTTCAGACTTTTTAAAAGCTAGATGAAAAGACATTATCATTTTTCTTTCTTGCTTGTAACTATGTGGATGATGCAGTATACAATTGTTATATTTGCACCTGTATGCATACTAATATTTTGTCATTTTATGTCATATTTTCAGGTGCAGAGTAGCAATTGGGTTGTGTGAATTTCCCATGTATCGTTCTTATAATTTGTCAACTCCTAATGGACCAATTCAACAAAAAACTACTTTTTGGTAGTACTGAAAGTCAGTCATCACTTATGGATCACAGAATAAACAGCTTACTTATGACTTACAATCAACATCCTATCGGGTATTTTTGTTAACTTAGTTGTGATTTTCATAGTTCAGTTGTAAAATGGATATATTTCGCTTGCCCAGAAAACAGTTTACAATTGAGCTATTTACTTCTTTCTAACATATATTTGGGACTGATATTGTTCCGAGTGCCCATTGCATTGGCTTTGTTAATAACTGTTTAACTTACATCATTCACATTACAGGAACAGATGTAGGTTGGCCATTGTCTTCACATGTAATATAATAGACCTTATGAAAGCATTATAACAGCCTTTGTGATGATTTTAATGGCTTTTGATTATATGCTGAATGACTTATTATCACAAACTACATTGCTGTGTTGTTTGTTCTTCAGCAATTGTTTTTGAACAGCATTGCCTGCTGGAAATGTTGTAGAACAGTTTTGACACTTGGAAGCAGAATGATGTTATCACCGTCTTTACAAAACACTCCATGTTGTATTGAGAAAACGTTTATTACCGTCTCATAACTGATGAAAATATGGTCACAGCCGGCTTGATGTGGCATGATCATGATTCTGATTTGGATATAATGTGCAGCAGAGTGCTCTATTGAAAGTTCTCAAGAATATCATCTGTTTTACCAATCAAGTTTATTAGATCAATTACGAGATATTTAATGTACAATCTATCTTTAACAAACCCAAAAGAACCATTCATGTGAAATGCTTGTTTGCTACATATCTTGTGTGGGTTATCAATATATTTCATGGATTACATGAATGCTTTTTTTGTGATTATGTGAGCTGCAATAGATATTAATTTACAATCTTTTGTCTAGGATGATCATCCAATAGATCTAAGGTCTAATTGGTGGAATTTTCTGTAACTTAGTCCTTCAGCAAACCCAATAGAACCATTCATGTGAAATGTTTGTTTGTAAGATATCTTGTGTGGGTTATCAATAGCTTTCATGGAGTACATGATTGCCTTTTTTAGGATTATGTGAGCTTCAATAGATATTAATTTAGAATCTTTTGTGTAGGATGTTTATCCAATAGATCTAAGATCCAATTGGTGGAATTTTCTGTAATTTAGTCATTTTCTAAAGTGGGAACCCAAATTTTATCATCTCCAAAGATCCACTTTCTTTGTTATTCATAATCTACAGACAGGGATGTATATGGCTTTCATAGATATATTTTCTTTTTCTAGTTGTTTTACTAATGCTGACTAATACAATTCTATATTCAATGTATATGTATATTATATTTTTAAATTAGGTTTGAACTAAGTCTTGTGGGCAGCTTTACCAAATACAAATTGATATATGAATGGTTTAAACTTCCTAGCCTCAACCCTACCATAGCAATTAACAACAGAAGATATCTGGAGATTTCAAGAATTATTGATATCAAGATTCATTTGTTTTCTTACTAATTTGTCGGTGGTTGCAACTGAAAGATCCCTCTTTAATGTATATAGGAGGCTCATCTGTCATGTGAGACTTAACCATATTTGCCATTTTCTTTAGAGAGTGGAAGTACTTGGATAATAAAATTGACTCATGGCATTTGTTGGAACAGTATGTATGGGTGCATAAATATATGGAGCTCTATTGAGTTGATGAGATTGAGGGCCCTTAAGTTTCTATTGTGTTATCCTCCAAACGAGCTAATTATATATTATCCTCTGTAATTAAATTTATTTAATATTTTAATATTTAGACTTAAAAAATTTATATTGGAATATCTTGTTATGAAAGTGAAACATTTAGTTTTATTTATCTTAACATCATTGATTTTATTAATGAAAATTCGAAAACAATGGACAAGAAGATAATTTTAACATCATAATTATAATTTTGGTGATGATGAATGATGATATCGTTAGGGGTCGCAGATGACTATTATGGATGAGGAGGGAGAATAATGACGAGAGGTGAGGCAAAAGGAGAGGAGGAAGAGGACGACATAAATATTGACGCTTTACATTTACGTTGGCATCGCTTGACAATTGCGTTGATGCTAACGTAGATGTAGAGCGGCGAAAGGATCGCTCGATATCTATATCGATGTCGATGCATATGCAGAGCAATGCTACCCTTCCTTGCATCATTGTCGATATTGATGTAGATGTAGAGCAATGTCGTTCTACATCTGTATTTTCGTCAACGTTGATGTAGATGTTGAGTGATCTTTTTGTCGCTTTGTATCTGCATCAGTGTCAACGTAGTTATTGAGTAACATCGACGTAGATGCAGAGTGTTGACATTTGCATCGTCATCTTCCTCCTCTCTCTTTGTCTTACCTCTCGTTATCGCTCTTCCTCCTTATTCGTAATAGCCATCTACAGCCCTCAACGGCGTTATCGTCTACTACAATCGAAAACGTAACTAGGATGTTGAAATTATCTTTTTACCTATTATTTTCATATTTCTGTCGATAAAATCGACAACGTTATGATAAAGAGTTAGATATTTCACTTTCACAACTATAAGAATTCTAATATAAATTTTTTAATTTTATGGATCGGGATACTAAGAAGGTTTAATTATAAGAGATAATATATAATTAGTCGTCCAAAAGTTTATATTAGCATTTCATGTATTCCTTTTTCTTTTTTTTTTCATCTAAGTACATTTTTTTTTTTTGTTCAATACATTCTCTTTCCTCTCTCTCTCTCTCTCTCATATCATTATTTCAATTGGCTGATGGATGAATGAATTTATTGCCCTCTAACAAAGAACATGAAACAAGTAGTCACCACAGAGCTTTTATACCATCTCCCCCACCACACTCGAAGGATGCCACTTCTTAAAGCACATCAAACACCACCTGACTCTCACTTTTGTTGATGCTACTAATTAGTTTGCATGTTAAACATCTCACAACAGTATAAACTTTCTATTATGCAATCTTAATAAAAATTACCTTAGTATTTATCAAAAGAAAAGTAAGAATATCATGTGCCATGCTGATTGCCATATGAATTGTTGCTTAATACGCTCAACGTGATATACATGATGGTTCATTGATTTCATTCAATTTTGTCGTTTCATCCATCTCATGTGACGCTACAATAATCACGTTATAAATGACAAATTGCCAAGTCTGTGATAAAGCCCATCAAACTTCAAGTCAAGCCATGTCTTCAACTTCTTCTTCTCCTCTTCAAATTTACTTTGATCTTCTCTTCTTCCTTGTTTTGTTTTGTATTTGTGGTCACGGCGACATAGGCTGCTTCCTGAAGGCGCATGGTGGTTGCCATGTCGCATTGCACTTATCAAATCATCAGTCATACTGTTCTAAAGCTTTCTTCCTAGTTATCATTGTACGGTGCTTGAACTGCTCACCGACACAGCTTTAACATCACATTTTAGAAGTGGCGATGAGAAGAACCCAGAAACCAATCCATCATCCACTAGTTCACGACCTGCAGGAGCTCATCAGAGTGACAGCAGAAGAACCACCAAAGCTCCGCTTTTTCACAGCTTTCTATATGTCACTGTGATACAAGTGCTAAGGGGTATGCAATTTAAAACTGGTGATTGTTCTTGTATGAAAAGAAAACTGCAGGATTGCAGATGTCAAACTGTCAAATCCTAGTTTTTCACATCTTTAGTGAATTTTCGAGAAAAAACAAATTATCTTTGAATAATTTTCAGAGAACACCATGAAAAAACTAATTTGCCCCTACGTGTGTTGAACCTGTCGCTACCTCCACCAACGCCTCTCGTTCTCTCTACACCGTTAGATATATCGTCGTCTTTGTGAACCTCATCAAACTTATCATACCCTCGCTTGAGGAATGAGGGGTGTGGTGACGATGGCCCTCGTCATCCTCACCCATGGCCCTTGTGCATAGGGGAGGATTCGACGTGGTTTACGAAAGCAACAGGAGCCCTTGCATGATGAAGGAGAGGGCATAACGATGACAACCCTTATCGCCCTTGCATGAAAAATGAGAGGGCACGATGGTGGCAACCCTCATCATCCTTGCTAATAGTCCTCGCACACTGGGGGAGGGTTTGATGGGATTGTCGTTGTCACCCACTACACGAGCGAAGGTGACAATAAATCTAATCGAGCAAAGTACAAGATAGTGATGCAATGCGGAGCGAAGATAGATATAACAAGAGCCAAAGGCAAAATAATCATTCATGAAAAAAAGAACTCTTTTGAGAATTTCTCAAAAATATTTTTTTTCAAAAAGTTCTCTTATATATATATATATATATATATATATATATATATATATATTCTGAATGATGTATAAAGGTGTGTACAATCTGAGATTTCAAACTAACCTCAATTAGTTGAGGTTTAGTGCTTAGGACAAGTCAAACATAACCACACCATAAACTATCAGACTATCAACTGCAGTTCACCAACTCCACAAGATCTCGGAAACTTGGATTACAAAACTGGTTAAAATAGACCTGAGAGTGGCAGTGCAACAACAGGTTACGAGAGGAGTGGTGGTTGAAGCCATGCATTCAAGGTTCAGATTCTTTGTCATTTAGATGTGATCAGACAATGAAGAATTCCCGAGGAGAACAATCACATGCCTGACAAGCTGAAAACCTTCTTGCCATTCCTTGTTATCAGATTTCAAGTACAGAACATTCTACTTTGCATATGATTCAGTGTTGGAAGCATGTTATGATACCTTGCAACACACTTTTAACTTTGGTTGGAGGATCAATAATGCTGGCCATCATGTGCCATTAGATGACCCAACACTTGGATTACTTCTCCTTGCTCTCCGTTTCTTGTCACCCCCAGTCAATGTCATTTGGTCCCTTTCATCCCAAGGAAACATGAGGGAGCTTAGAGCTTCTCTCACTCCACAGAAAGATTAACACCTGTGTGTGCTTTGCTTTGCTGTATCATTTGTTGAACATGATCACTGACAAATATTTGCATGAGAAGGATGAAATGGAAGAGGAAATATTACTTCTCCTTGCTCTCCCTTTCTTGCCACCCCCAGTCAATGTCATTTGGTCCCTTTCATCCCAAGGAAACATGAGGCAGTTTGGAGCTTCTCTCACTCCACAGAAAGATTAACACCTGTGTGTGCTTTGCTTTGCTGTATCATTTGTTGAACATGATCACTGACAAATATTTGCATGAGAAGGATGAAATGGAAGAGGAAAGATTGAAGTGAGCTCCAAACAAGAAGGGACCATGGTTTGGTGATGGGGACTCCCCAACAACAAGAGGGGACCCATTGTGTAACCTAATCTTCTTCTTCTTCTTCTTCTTCTTCTTTCTTTCTTTCATAGTGATTCCCATATGCAAGCTTGTTTGGACCTTTGCAAGTCCACATCATGGAGGATTCCCTAAGCTTTCAAACTTGCACCTACCACATTTTCTTGTGTCAGCATCAAGAAATTAAGGCCCTACAGGTTCATTGGCTTCTATGTTTTGCTTAGGAAAATGATGATTGCCATTGTTCCATTCAATGCCTGCCAATAGGCCTCCACAAGTCCACTGGTAAAATATTTTATTTATAGAAGGAAAATAGTGATGGTTTGATCATGTTTAAGTTGATGGATCTCATAGATTTTGCCATTTTGTATCAATATTTCTGCATATCTTTTTTAAAGCCATAACAATGACAGCATAAATGCAATCAATCTATAGAACCCACAACTTGTTGATGTCCAATCATAGAATTGACCAACTATTTGACCAAAATTCTCACTTCCTATACAAATTATCAACCTATAAATTGGTCAAAGATGACTATTATATGTTGTTCTACAAACTAGTTGATTAGACTCACTCTAAGCCTAACTCTCCATTGTTGAACTTAAATCATCCAGCCATGTATTGATCAAAGATTATTTTGTACTGTTCTACAATTTTGTTTATCAAACTCAATCCAAGTTTAATCCTCCAATTTTGGACTCAAATTATCTATTCATATATTAATATATGTTCCACAAACTTATTGATTAAATTTAATATTTTCTTCTTAAATTTATTTTTTTCTTCACATATTACATAATACGCTTGCTAAGCGACATCATTACACAGTAGATAAATCTCATAAGAACGTCTTCTATAATATTTAATATAATTAAAATATATTTTTGGCTATTATGATATCTCCTCTACATATACTATTATCATAATAATATTTAGTTATTAGATCACTTGTATAACAGAAGATGATTGTATAGTGATTCGTGGTCAATATAAGATTTTCAGGACCACTTAGAAGGGTATGTTATCGACACAATAAATACGATTGAGATGCACCAATTGGGGATATAATATTATATGTAGTAGATTTCATTAAAAAAATAAATGATATCGTTAAGAATAGAATGAATTTATAATACTTTTAAAATTATAAAAAAATTAATATAATTTTTTTAAAGTATAAGAACCATAATACTATTAGCCCGAGTTGTTCAGAGCAACTCAATTTACCTCTTCATTCTTGAATTTTCTTGTCCTTCTTGCCTTGGCAAATCAGACAATCTGGCCAAATCCACATGAAATGACACATCCTCCAACCTCAACACCAAAAGCCTTGGGGAACATAAAACAAAAGGTTTAAAGAAGAAGTACAGCTGTCCCAATTTATTGTAGGGAGGAGGGAAAACATTTTTTAGTAGCAGAAAATTGTTTTTGCCTTTTCAGAAAGTGTTTTTGCTTTTGAGAGAGAGAGAGAGAGAGAAAGAGAGAGAGGGAGGGGATGTGGAATTGGAATTGGGGAGGAGAAGGTTTATTGAGTTAGGTTTATTACTCTTTTATGTTTTCTTCTTCTTTTTGAACCAAATCAAATCACAGCGCACACAGCCATTTCTTTAAGAAAGCTCCGTTTCTTCTTCCCTCCCTCCCTCCCCATTTCGCCCTCCGTCGCTCTCCCAGGTTTTGGTTTTGATCCCTTCTTCGGAGGCTTATAGCGCCGCGGCGGTCGCGAGAGGTGGCGCGGGCGGCTGCGGACGTCGGTAGTGGCCTGTGGCGGAGTGGCGTTTCCGAGGGCGTGCGGGTTGGTCGTGGGCGATTCGTCGATGAAGGAGATGTTGGGGAGTCTTGGCCGCTCGAGATCTGCCGCGGGATGGAGCGGCCCGATCTATGATGTGCGGGGTTGATTTCGGCGCGCGGTTCGCGGATTGTTTGATCTGTGCAAGAGGGAGGAGAACGGGCTGCTCGTTGTTTCTTCGACGCCAGCGTCATGGCGACCACCAAGCGTGCGTACAAGCTACGTATCCTTCTTGTTGCTCACTTTCTGTTGAATCCAAGTTCTGTTTCCTGGGTTTTCCTTTTGGCTGGTGATAAGGAAAAGTCCCTTGGTATCAAGAAAAGCACCTTTTTCAGTTTTCTCAATTTTTGAATATTATTTAGCTTAACCTGTTTGGTCCAATATCGGTTATTTGATCTGGTTAACTGGTTATAGTTTTGTAAAAGACGTGATTTTTTTATCTTACCCTGTCTTTAAGTTTTGGATCTCTGTAATCTTGCAATGAGATTTGCTAGTCTTGACAAGACTGAACCTAGAGGAATTTGTAGCACATTCGTCCAATGTCAATTGCCTAAAGATTGGGAGGAGGACTTCGAGGGTTCTTGTCACCGGAGGAGAGGATCACAAGGTCAACCTTTGGGCTATTGGGAAGCCCAATGCCATATTGGTGAGTAAATCTTGTCTACTGTGCTGTGGTGATAGGTGTTCTTCTTCTGGTGGTCCGGTTGTAACTGTGTTGTGTAACTTTTTGATAATGTGCAGAGTCTGTCTGGCCATATCAGTGCAGTTGAATCAGTAAGTTTTGATTCGTCGGAGGTTTTGGTGGCTGCTGGTGCGGCTAGTGGCTCAATAAAATTATGGGACTTGGAGGAGGCAAAGAGTAGGACTCCTTATTTTGTTTAAGCAGTATTTTGATGATCACAGAAAGAAAGCAAGCTGCTTCATATAGTTGGCTCCCTTTTTTTGCTTTGTGCAGTCGTTCGCACTCTAACTGGGCACAGGTCAAATTGTATAGCTGTTGACTTTCACCCATTTGGCGAGTTCTTTGCTTCTGGGTCACTAGATACAAATCTAAAGATCTGGGATATCAGAAGAAAAGGATGCATCCATACATACAAAGGTCATACTCGAGGGGTTAATGCTATTAAGTTCACCCCTGATGGGCGGTGGGTTGTTTCTGGTGGGGAAGACAACATTGTGAAGGTTTTGTCTCTATTTCATTGTTTTTCATGTTTGATCGCTTTAATGAAATCATTTAGTTATACTTTCTTCGTGCCTGTTTCAAAATTTCTAATAAGGTGGTCAAGTTTGGTTTGCAGTAGATTATATCTCTGATTTTGGAGCTATAATCGGAGCTATAATCTACTGCTGATTTGCAGTAGATTTGTTTGATTGCTGGACAAGTTTGATCCCTTTTTATTATTACAATTGATTTTATCTGTTTACATACACATAACCAGATTATACCGGATTCTAATGTACCTTGACTTCTAAACTCTTGTCAACAGCTTTGGGATCTTACTGCTGGAAAACTTTTACATGATTTCAAGTTCCATGAGGGTCAGATTCGGTGCATTGATTTTCATCCTCATGAGTTTCTACTGGCAACAGGTTAGCTTTAATTCCAAATATAACTATGAAGAAACTGCTGAATTTTGAACATGTATTGTACGTAAAACAATATTCAAATGAGTTTAAGCTGGAACGCTTGGCAAATGGTTTGATTATTCTATCCCTTCAACTTCTTTCATTCTTCATCACAGAGTGTACTGAAATGCAAATATAAGTTATGTGCTGCCAAACCTATTTTTCTACCATAATAATAATTAGCTTTGAATTACATTATGCCTCTACTTTCTTAATTGTCCCTTTGAAATTGGAGCTTCATAATCTGATGTTGTTTGCTAAGACTTATTTGATGATCATTGAGTTGACTTGCAATTTGTTCTTTCAATGGTTGCAAGAGATTCCTGTAGTCGACTCCAAATGGTTGGGACTTACGGCTTTGTTGATGTTGTTGTATTGATGTGGACAGTATTTGTGATTTTGTGTGATCTTGATTTAGATGTTTTGGAAGAAATGGGTCTTCAAACATATTGTGTGAGCTTTCAATGGCTTATTTTCTCTGATTTTGTGGCTTTTCACAAAACTGTGAATCTTGTTTTGGTTGGATGGCTTGTTCTTGTTGTCAGCTCTGATTTTGGAGCTTCTGGCTAATCGATGTTAGCGAAGAAAAAAATTTGTGATGCATCAGAAAAGAGGTCTTTGGAGCTTTCTCATTTGGTACCTCTGCACTTTTCTATGATCTCCCAACTTCCAATAATGATAACTTTTTTTCTCTTTTCTGCTCTTCCTTATAACTAGCTTTTAAACCTCTATTTGCTTTTGCAAATACCTAATACGGCTCTGTATTCAACATAGGGTAAGCTAATGCTGTATTTTGATAAGGAATCTCCCACCAATTGAGATCATCATGTGCCTTCTTGCATTCAATGAAAATATTGGGTACATTAAAGAAAAAAAATAAAGACTGTTAAACCTCATGTCAGTTAGTACAACTGATGGAAAAAAAAATAAATATTGAAAACATGAAAAAAATGAAGACTTTCAGTTATTGATATAAATTCATTACAGCTGTAACTGAAAATTTATGGCTATTGGAGGGGTAAGTTTAGATCTGATCAATTGGTCCTCAATTAGGTATGGAAGTTAGCAAAAGAAAGTTGCACTAATTGAGACCAAAAACTTTGTGATTTCTGTTGGAATGGGTCAATCTAATATTGGAGAATAGGTGATATAAAGTACTGTACAGATTCTGCAGTATACTTACTGTACCATCTGTAAGGAAAACAAGAAGTAAACTGTAAACGAAAAGTAATAGACTAATGGAGATAAAAGATGCAGAAAAAGAAGACCACAGGAAGTAAAAAGCTTTCACTCCATGGAACCGCTATACAATGCTCCTTTCTAGCTGTATGCCTCTATAATAGAGTAACTCAGAACTTGTCCCAGAGAATCTTAGATACTATCAGACTTTTTTTCACACTGGTCTAATACCAAATAATGCCTTATTAACGCCAAAAATACCATGTATTGTTATTCTATACTTAAATTTGTCTCCAGGAAACCTAAAACTGATTAAATTTATAATTCATAGCTGGATCTTTTTTGTTCATGAGTTGGTAAAGTTCAATAAGGGCTGGTAACTCAAAAACAGGGCTCTAAGTTGAATATCTCCTTGGTTTTCTGTTTCTGTTTCATTGGAAAAGAAACAGTAAAGGAAGCATGAGCCCAAATGGTTTGTTCAGGGTTACTTTTTTCAATAGCTGCAGCATCCTTGTTTACATGTTTTAGTTGGTTGAGTTATAAATCAATTTTTACTTGGTTCTTAACAATGCATTCATAAAGTTGTAATAAGGATTTTGTACATTATTGCCTTGTCTACGCATCAACATGTGTTTTGCCAAGTGTGCAATTAAGAATATCACCAGAATTTGACATTTGAGAAAAGGTTTGAAAAGTAGGAAAAGGTAGCTGTGAGAATTAATTTAAATTGATATTCATTTGAGAATAGAAAAATATTGAAAGTAAGATATTAATATGGAAAAAAGAGTAAAGTAGGGGGATAAACTTTGTAGTTTTTGGAGTTCTTTCTGAAGTAGTTTTGAATGATTGTGTTTTAAATTCTAAGATTTAAGAATAGTTGAGCATTTTTAATTGATTAAGTATTAATTTGGCTTTAAAGGATTAATTGGAGAATCACTTGATGAAGGAAAAACACATGATTAACTTAGTTTTTTTTTTTTATAATTTAGAAATATTGTTGTGGTGCTTTAGATTTTGCATTGACTTGAAATTGAAAAGGGCCTTTAGCTGCGTGGCAGTAAGGGAGAAAGAAACCATGTGTTGCGTGGTTACATGATGAATGAAATATTTCATGTTTTAGTATGATTTTCTCTTCATGTGTGATATATTAGATTCAGTGAGTTTCTGATATTCTAAATGTCCTTGTGAATTTGCTTGGAATAATTGACAAATTCGCTGCTACAAGGTTAATCCCACTCCACATAAGTTGTTTGGGCTAGCAGGTTGGCATGTTGTGAACATTAATATATTGCATTTTTGTAAAAACTTTTAGAAATTAGTCGTATACTGCAGAGTATAGGCTTTCTTTTTCTTGTTTTGCCAGCTAAGTGCTACCTATCATGGTTTTTGAGATTATTGTCTGTATATACCTTATGTAGTTTATGACAATCACTTTTGCGGATTTTGTTGATTCTTGCTTTCTTTTATTTTCTCATGTGCCGATTGTATACTTTTCTACAATTTGCTAACACTTCTTATGCTCATGGATGAAAGATTGCATGATATAATTCAAGTTAGAATTGAATTATAAGTATATTGTTGTTATTGTCTATGCTTTCAGTTGTCTGAATATTAAATGATTATTTTATAGGTTCGGCTGATAGAACTGTTAAGTTCTGGGATCTTGAAACTTTCGAGTTAATAGGGTCCGCTGGACCTGAGGTATTCTTTAAGTTCATTTCATTGAAACTGTCTTGTGTTCCCCCCCCTAAATTGTTTGGTTGATATCCCATATTATTTAAAACTGTCTACTTTTCTTGTAATTAGGCCTCATCTGATATGTACTCAAGGTGTGTAATATGGATATTCACATTGTCAATTATTTAAATAGGTTTTACCTCTTAGGGATGCAATGATGGACAGGGAGTTTTGAGATGTCAGGGCTATTTGTTGACTGAGTAGAAAAAAGCCGATCAAGTACACGGCTTGGTTTGAACTTGTTTGCCTGGAAAATAAGGCAACATTTAGCTTGATTTGTTATACAACAGGCTAGCTAGAATGTGGGATTGGCATGCCTTCTTACTCATGGGTGACTCTGAAGAGGCTGGTTCTAGCTCAATTGTGCTTGAGCATTTTCCCAAATAGCCGAGTGTAGGGTATACTTTTTCTAGTCCACCTCAAAATTTCCACCAACACATGTAGTAGCAAGATTCCCTCTTTGTGGTAGTCACTCTTGCATTACTTGGATGTCTTCTACAAACCATTATTTTTTAAACATTTTCTTATATATGTGTCTTGAGAACAAGCCTTATCATCAAGGTAAGGTTGCTCGACCTGGGTAAATAGGATCTGGGTCATGAAAATAGTTTTTTTTTTTTTCTAGAGGCAACACTGTATATATTGAGCCTCCTAGGCCCTGTTTCTTTTTTTTAATAAAAGGTAAGTGATGAAGGTGGGATTCGAGTTCAGGCCCTGTAAATATTTTTTTAATAAAGGGTAAGTGACGAAGGCGGGATTCAAGCCCAGGCCCTCTTGCATTGACACGTATGTTGTGCATTGGACTGCTAGGTTTCGAAGCTGCTTACAAATTATGATGATATTTTATTAATTGTTTCTGTGTTCTTTAATAGCCTTCTCTTTTCTACTCTATCCAAAGGTTTTGATGCTAGTTATAAATTATAACAGACATCTTATTAATTGTTTCCACATTCCATGCTAGCCTTCTCTTTTTGGCTCTAACCTGTTGTCGTTTAACCAACCGATACCCTGTGTGTATCTGCAAACCACTTGGTTAGCTATTACGTTTGTGTGCCATGTTCTATACAGTTTTCAATCTTTATTTTGTTCAATAAGCTGCTTATTAAATAAGTTTGACTCCAGACTTCTGGTGTTCGTTCTATGACATTTAATCCTGATGGGAGAACTTTGCTTTGTGGATTGCATGAAAGTTTGAAGGTAAATTCAATTGCTTCATTTTTTTCATTAAAGGATATATGGATGCTAACCTTGGTTGTATCCAGGTTTTTTCTTGGGAACCAATAAAATGCCATGATGCTGTGGATGTGGGATGGTCTAGATTATCAGATATGAATATCCATGAGGGAAAACTTCTTGGGTGTTCTTACAATCAAAGCTGTGTTGGCGTGTGGGTTGTGGACCTCTCTGTGTGTTCTAACTCCTCTCACACTTAATTTTCAAGTTGTTTATCCTTTTTGTATAAGTATTGAATAATGTATATGATTATATATAATTTGACACCGGTAACTCGACACCATGAATTACAGCGCATCGAGCCATATGCAATTGCTAGTGCTGCTAATCTAAACGGTCACTCAGAACCTAAGTCTGCATCAAGTGGTAGTGTGTCTATGCAAGCTGATAATAATATAAAGTCTAGTATGGGGAGGCTATCAAGTTCAGAGCCAAATGCTAAAGAGACAAAACCAGTAGCATGTAGGTTACTGATCTTTCTTTCTTTTAGTCACCTTAAATTGTACAGCTCCCTTCCTGAATATGTTTGAAGCACTAGAAAATACAAAGAATTTACAATTTTCTTATGCTATAAAGTTAAATCGACCGCAGATGTCCCTGGTACTCCTCAAAGGATTGCAACAAGTGGTGGCACAAAAACAACTACTACAGCACCAGCCCCAGCACCAGCACCAGCACTGGCACCTGTTGCTACTACCGTAAAAAGAAGTGCATCAAAAGCTCAGGCTACAACTAATCTTCCAACCATAAAAAAATCTGATATAATACCTGTCATTGTCCCTAGAACTAGCCCCAGATTGGAGCTGTCCGCTGATTCTACTAATGATGGGATTGGAAGAACAATACCATGTGATATCCAATCAAAATCTGCTAATTTTCGGAAAGTATCAAACATCAACGAAAATTCAGAAAGGGCAGATATGTCAGTTCAGTCTGGGTTTGTGGGCAGTAGAACCACTGAACAAAATGAACTCATGGACCAAACTGCTATTTCTTCTGGCAACTCTGTAACTCAGCGAGTGACTGGTGGAGAAACTAACCTGGATGATGTTAAATGTGTTACGACAGGGAGGCCAGGAGCAAATCTATTCAGAGAATCAAGTGCAAATTATGATCATGAAAATCGTAAGTGTCGGTCCATAAATTTGTAGTTTCCTGTTTCATGAAGCTTTAATTTTTAGTCTTAATATGCTACACTGGATATCTTATATTGTCAAGTTTCTACTGCATAATCTTTTTTGCTTGATTTCTTGTTTTTCTCAAGTTCTGTTGTCCCTTGATGGATGTTGCAAATTCTCATATATTCTAATACAACATGCAGAATTTATGTTCCTTTTCTCCCCTGGATATGTGATAATTATTGAAATAACACTCCTCTATTCAAGGACTAATATGAGAGCATGGAGGTAAGTACCGAAGGACAATTGTGGCAAAGAAATACTAGCATTTGTATAGAGGTATGGTGAAATCACAGTGCTTAAGAAGTGTAAACCTTGCCATACTTAAATTTTGCTCAAGACAGGCCTAGGCACATTTGATATTAGAAGTGTATTCGGTAACATTTGGCTCATTTGATATAAACTAACTGAACAGTTATTTTTTGGACTATGTGACCCAAACCAAACCAAGCACATATGGTTAATCCATAAGATATAATTATCCAAACCTAAAAGAGTATGATCAGCTTAAGTTACTGGGATTCTTTCTTATGAAAAATGTTGTACTCTCGAGAAAAGAAACAAAAATAGATGTCCATATGAATGTTGATGAGTCTTGGGTGTGTGTAACTCAACCAATCCAGGAATCTAGTTGACTTAGATTATTCTGTTACATTTCAATCTTTTCGGTGTATTTACAAAATATTCTGCTGGAGGTTTTGGTCTATGTTTCATCCATTAATTATCTTTTATTTGATTATGAGCAGCAAGAGGCCCTCATTTTGCTATATACTGACATTTCACTGTACTACAATGAATCGGTATTTTTACTGAATTCATTTTGAGTAAATTGGTTATTTCAGATGGCATTTACAATAGTTATTTTGTTATATCTTAGATAACATTAGAATCCATAAGCCAAAGGAAGCATGCTCTTTTGATATTCCAAAAGGAGGTATATATTTCCTGCTTATTTTAAATCATGTTTTAGATGGTAACGTTTGTGTACTTTCTAATTTTCTCATCACTTGTAGGAAGAACAAGGTCACTTGTTGCAACCTGGGAAAGGAGGGAACATTCTCCAAGTTATGATCAGCCAAGATTAAGCAATTCCTCTGAGACCGGCGCTACTTCTAGCTCTCCATATTCTTTGGTAAAATTTCGACTTGACCTGTTTTTATACATGGCAAAGTGTTCATCATGCATCTAAACTTCTTAAATCTTGTATCAGATGGTTTCTGCAGGTAGTAACTTAGCTATTCTTCAGGGAAAACCTAAATGTGTTTTCGTTCATGAATCACATAGTATTTTTTAGGATTTTTATCCTTTAACTTGAGCACATTTGCTTTATCCTTGTGAAAGTTCCTATTTGGGGGGTTAAGGATCCAAAACGAGGCTTATTTGTGCTGTTTCTGAAGTACTTCAATGATATGCTGCTTTATAATTCATCCTTTTACTTTCTTTATTATTTCCAGAAATTTCAACATAAATTGTTCTGTATTTACATGTCTACTGTATCGAACAGAGAGGTCGCAATCGATTTGCTGAAAAGGAAACTGTACCTGCTTCTGATGAGGATGCTATTGCTGTTTTACTGGGAAAACATGACCAATTCTTAAACCTGGCACAGTCTCGATTGATCAAATTACAGGTAAAATTTGTCTTGTCACTCATGATTGAAACAAATACAGTTCATCTGTATGTAATAGAATGCCATACGTTGAATGTTTATTTGATTACAATTTCTCATGGATTGCTTAAGAAATTTATGGACTTTTGGTTGTCACTTTCATATAAACATTGTTGAATGATATAAAAGTTCTGAGGAGGTTTCAATCAAAACAAGCTCGATCACCACACTTTATTAAGAATAAATAGCTTAACAGGCCATTGGCATGTCTATCATCAGCACAACCACCATGGTCACTCACCCATTTGTGAGTTAATTAGGTACATTTGTCATGAATAACTAGAACTGGTTGAGTTGACTGTTAATCAAAACATATATAAAGCAAACCAGGCCATGCCCTCTAAATCCAATGGTCAGACTCACACTTTTATTGCCTTAATAAAACAAGGTGAGGGATGACAATTGCACAAGGAATATGGACGGACTGCTCTATTTTGTTGTATTGGTGATGATAATCTGAGACGTGGATAATGTGTTGTCTTCATACTTCTAGTCTATGCTTTAAATATTTAATAGATACATCTGATATTACACAAAACCTGTACAGAAAAGTCTGAATCCTACTAAAGCAAATTAGCTAACAGTATGCTTGTGCTCATGGATTGGCAATCCACCATGAATACCATAGGCTGTTATCTGAATTACTTGTGACCTTCATCTGCTTCCCAGGGATTATGAAACCTGAAACTAACAATTCCAAAGTTGAACTTTCAGCGATGGGCTTTTATGTAAAATTGTTTTGCTTAAAATGATTTGTGTCTTGGGATTCCGTAGAGCAGGCTGTACATGATAATGAATTGGGCTCCAACCAAATAATACAATAACTTCTGTGAATTTGAGGCATCTGTCCCCATAAGCAAGTCCCTATTTATCCCATAAGAAACAGTCATGAACATCAATCAGCACCCATGGATTTTGCGTTCTGCTGTTCCAGAAGTTTGTTCTTCGGCCAACTCACTTGAAATAGTTTGCTTTGCTCATGCTTAGTGGTTATATGAATTAGTAAAGTTGTGGATGCACTTGTCAGCTGCCATATGTATCTTGATGGCTTGTGAAGCCCAAATGCCTTAAGATAATCATGCATCAATGTCCATTTTGTTCTTTTATAGTTTCACATTCCAATTGTGTCAGGGTCTTGCTTGTTCATATAAATTCATGGTACATCCTCTTTATGTTTTATTGCTTATCCAGTCATGTTTGACTTTGGGAATTAGGTATTAAATGCAATGAAACAGTTGTGTTCCCTGACATCAGAAGTTCAATTGATTGCATGCATTGTTGATTCAACACCTCAGCTCCTTTTTGCTCTTCTCTTATGCTAAATTAAGTAAATATTATTGCTTCCCTGTTTTTGCAGTGTGAAACATTAGAGGATAAATGCATAGAAAATTTCTTGGATTTGCTGACAGTTATGCCAATTTAACACCACCAATTTGTGCAATGAATTTTCATTTCTTTAAATGTCATAATTTCCTCTCCAATTATGCTATTTAAAGATTTAGGAACTTATTGGCATTGTTTTAAACATGTGTATGGTGTCTATGCTTTTTGTATAATTTGCAGGTAGTTTGCCAACTTTGGGAAAGAAATGATGTCAAGGGTGTCATTGATACAATTGAGAAGATGTCCGATCATGCTGTGAGACATAAACACAGTTGCCTTTTCAGATAACAAAGATCTTCTCTAACTTTTGTAATGAAATAATGCAGGTCTGTGCTGATGTATTGAGTTCTCTGAAGGATAAAAGTGAAATCATTACTCTGGATATATGCGCATCTCTACTGCCACTCCTCACTGGCCTTCTTGAAAGTAAGATAGATAGGTATGCTTCCATCAGTCTCTTGCATGGTTGTCTAGCTTGAGATAGCTTATTCTCTTGTTTGTATACCCAGTAGTCTTAGCATTATGTTATCTGGGAGCCATTTCAGTGTTTAATTACCTGGTTTTTTATTATATTCTACTTAAGGTATCCTGCCTTAAATTTGGTTGAGTCCCAAGGCACCCTAGTACATCTGCAACCTTGGTTAAGTTGATGCCGGTATCGCTTACAGGCCGGTACCAGTTGGTAACGTCGATAATTTATTCCTTGATTTCATGCTGGTTTTGTTGACTGATTCCATGCTGTATTTAATTTCTACTCATTTGCTTTCTTAGCCTTGTCTTCTCTACTATGTATTGTTTTTCAAATTTTATATTTTATTTTCCTTTTTTTCCCTGTTTTATATATAGAGTTATGGGGCTTATTTGATAAAAGGTAAGCATTTATAAGATTTTATAATTATCTTTTTAGCCTTCCATTTTTTAAAGTCTTTGTCGCAGATCGTAACTCGATACACTTGGATGGTAAGAGTAGATGTTTATGACTTGTCCATGCCGAAGTAAAATGTTCTGATCACTTATCTTCAGTTACTTGTTCATTAACTTTCGGATTACTTGTTCTGGCTGAGAATGTACCCTATCTTATTCACTCTCCATTGTAGGCATTTAAGTGTTTCCTTGGAAATGTTGCTGAAGCTAGTCAAAATCTTTGTTCCTGTAATCCGTTCAACATTGTCGGCAGGTCCATCTGTTGGTGTTGACCTTCAAGCAGAGCAGAGGTTTTCCTTTGGTGTTTATGTTTGTTTGAATTTACAAACTTCTAGTCTTCCATCACCAATCGCTAGTGATATGATTCTACAACAATTTTCTCTGTCCATGGCAGGCTGGAACGTTGCAATTTGTGCTTCATTGAACTGGAGAAGATCAAGAATAGTATTTCTTCCCTTATAAGGTGATCTATAAACTCGCTATTTTATGTCTGTTGCCATCTAAAGAAAGACTTGACTACTTCTGAAATGTCAAACACTGTTTGGATTTAAAAAAAAAAAAAACTCAAGCTGCATGCCAATGACCAAATACTTGTTAAGTGACACAATGGTAACATATTCTTTAGGATTCCTTGTCATCTTTTTTCAGTAACATTAGATCTCCCATCTGTAAAAAGTTATCTAAAAGGCATTTTACTTGAGACATTTTGGATTTTACCTTTTAACAGAAGAGGAGGGTCCATCGGAAAGGCTGCACAGGAACTGAATCTCGCTCTCCAGGAAGTGTTATGACTCACATATACATACACATGTACAGTGGATTTGCCATTCTTTATATCCTTTGCCTCCCCATTGGAAGCTGATTGTTCAACTGTTTATTGGGGACCTTCCCAGATATGGATGCTGAAGCTAAACACTACAAAAATTTGCTTATATCCTGTAAGCATTCTAACTGTGTTCTGACATCTACGGAACTAGCGGAGTCCATTCTGCAACATATGAGGAGTATATATGTATGACAGCGATAGAACATATTGTTCTGCATTGCTTGGAGAGTATCTATTGGAAAGAGTGGAAGGTTTGCTATCCTCTCCAAAAGTTGGCTGCATGGTGTCTGTCCTTTTTCGCTACATGACAAATTTGGCCATAGTAAAAGTTTTTATTTGCATAGGATTGGATAATGTTGCCCAGGCCATCGATTTGTTTTGGTGAAGAGGCTGGGGACAACATTTTTTTCTTTGTACCATGTTCTTGTATCACAAGTTGAGTAATGGGAAAAAAAGGGGGGAAAACTTCACCAAAAATTTCGAAGCAGAGAGCTCAGTCCCTCTATCATGTGGTTGCCAAAGTGATGAAGGATAAAGGTGTCCACCGACATTGCCGCTGCATTTTGCCGGTCTGCAAGGTTTGTTCTTCTTCCGATGCATGCTTGTTGAACTTGTTCCAGGGAAAATGTAAACCGTGTTATCGGAAGTTTTTCCACAGAACAAGTGAAAATGCTGTTCTTAATGATCTCTATTGTTTTTAATTCTTTGATAGCAATAACATCAAAAATAACTGTAGTCGACAAGACAACAGATTGCTTCCTTCCAAATAAAAACTCAGACCAGGAAACAATCCATTTGTGCCTTCATATTGATATTTGATGTTGATTGTGGTGGATATGTACTTTGCTTGTTCATTTGTGCTTTCATATTAGATATTTGATAGCAAACTTTAGTCTTACACTCATTTTATATATTGTTGCAGTGGCATCTCCTTTGCAATATTTATTTCAGGTATATGCAATGTAGACTCCAAAATGCATGATATCAAATACAAAGACTGCCAACAAATCATCCTAATGTTACTTGTTGCATGCATTCACAAATGGGATTCCATTAACCTATGCAAACATCGTCTCCTGTGACACAACAATGAAAGCATTGTGTAGTAGCCCACCAAACAAATCATCTATCTATCAATGAAAACCCCAATAGTCTTAATGGCCTACCAAGCTTAACCACTTCACATTAAATGTATACAGCCATGGCATATCCTTGGTTTGGGCTTCAACTCCTCTTAACTCCTGGATGAGCTTTAGTGTCGGTGACCGCTCAGTCTTGTACTGTGAAACAGAAAGGGAGAAGAGGTTACCGGTCTTGTGCCGTGAAAGAGAAAGGAAGAAGAAAGGTAGCATTATAAGAGGATGTGGTCCAGTTAGGAAGAAAGGGAAAGGGAACAACAGATGGGTTTTAATAGTGGCCCTCTACTTAGTTGAGTGATTTGTTGGTTTCGAATCGAAAATAGTATTTGAGTGGTTCGATTACGATTCTTAAGTTTTCGAAATCGGAACCGGTGGTTCAGTTCTAGTTCGTATCAATGGAAGTACGAGAACGATAGATAATATTTCAGAATTAGGGCTACTCACATCAATAGATAATATTATATCTTAGTTGTAAAATTTACATAATTTAAGAACATATATATCCTTTCATAGTTTTAAAAAAAAGGGCAAATATTTAGATATTCATATATGTTTGTTTCTTTTAATATTTAATATTGCTTTAGGTGTCAACCATACAATAAACTCAAGTCAATCGCTACTAACTGTAGTTACTAATTAGTTTGGAAAAAGTATTATCTAATCCATTAATTGCATCGATTCTACACGCAATCAACTTAGCTTTCTATCAAACTTAGTAGAGCCAATTGCCATGGGAGCCACATAAAACATGTAGCCATAGTGCTTTCTCTTGTCTTCCCCTGTGGATTACAAGTGTAGTCGTACCACTTCTGATGCCCACCTTGTTCTACTTTGTGGTTCCTACACTGTGCCCACCCACCGATTGGTCTCACACCCCTCTCTCTCTCTCTCTCACTCTCTCTCATATTGATTGAATCAGTGATGTAGAAGTGGAGCCGTCGAATTCGTACGTGCACGGATCTTAAAGCATCATCAATGGATGTGAGTCATTCTTCTCCCGCTCTGTCTTCCCAGCCGCGGAAGTAAGTCGATGGGCTAAAATGTCAAACGGGCCACAAACACTGACGCCCGAGTCGCACCCGCGCCGCACAGTCCTCGGACAACGCAGGGGTCCCACACTTTGACCTAGAAGCTGGTAGAAGAAAAGGACACGCAGCGCAACGAACGGTCCGCAGAAACCGTTAAAAACATCTAACGTCTATCCGATCCGATACGACACGATACAAACAGCGTTACGAACGATGATAACGGCCGCTCCGCTGGGCTTCCCGTCACGAGTAATAATGGCAGTCATTGATGCAGAGAAGGAAGTAACAGCAGCAGGGGAGCCGATCCGCCTCGAGCGAATCCGATCTTTTAGTCTTCCTCTTGGTGGTGGATTCGATTACTCTCCTCGGTGGCCATCTCTTCTCTCGGTGGTGTTGGCTCGAGAGACCGTACGCCGTGCTGCCGGGGCATCGATTTGGATGAACTGAATCTCCGGGATCGTGGAGCGCATTGATGGGCTTTGAGGCGGAAACCTTCCAAGTTTGCCCTCTTGATCAGCTACCGGATAAAGGTGAGCGGGGAGGAATGATGGCACGGAGATTTTATCTTGGTTCTCTTTCCTATTATGATTTCGAGGATGGGAGATGAAGAGATTGAATGTATGTACAGAAAGGGATCTCCTTCCCACTGATTCTACTGCTAATCCTGTTCTTGTTTGGTTCTGTGTTCTTCTTCTTCTTCGTTTAACGCTTATGGTCTTTATCTGTGAAGAACACAATAGAGGCAAGAAGTAGAGAGGCGAGTGAGAAGGAGGCTTGATAGATTCGTGGAGTATATAAAAAGGGAAAAGAATGTGCACTAGTGGGCGAAAGCACTCGAATCTGCAGTCTTTCCTCGCTCACATAACGCCTTCGGTGCCTGCTTATCCTCTTCCAAAGGTGCGCTTTCTTTTTCCACTTGGCTTTGATTCGTGCGAATTATTCTGTTAAATGGTTGCAAAATTTGGTTCTTTTTGAGTTGTCCTATTGTCATGGTAGAAAATTAACAGGTGTATTGAAAAGTTCCAATGTTTGTTGTTCTGAACCCGTAAGTCATGAATCTTTTATCTTACTTTAGTATATGATCTTGGATATTATCTGTCTCCAGATTTGAATGGGTTGGTTTATCTGAATGGTTCTTTATATACATGCAAATGGAAAATTTGCTTAGTTGACTGAAATAAAGACGTCATTGATGGTTTGAATTTGCTTTACTTTTTTATTTCTTGATCCCCAGCATACTCTTTATTCGTATGCTGAAATTGTGATACAAACCAGCATTTTGATAGATACTCTTAGTCTAAAATATAGAGATTGGCAGATAGGAAGAATGTTGATATCAGGAAATTAAAACTCTAATTTTTGGGTGCTTTGGGTTCTAAGTTAGGTTTGTAGATTTTTTTTTTTTTCTTGTTGTAGATCTAGTAGCATTTTGTTTGCTTCTTTCCAATTTCCATTTTTTTTTACTGTAACAGCTTCTTTATATTTTTTTTGTTAACATCGGTTGACTCCCACCGATTGTTTTGATGACACTTGAAACTTCTGATATAATAACACAGACATGCATACGTGATCTGAATAACCTCTGGCAACCTGTGGGCAAGGAGAAGGCTGAGTATTTCACTCTAGGAGACCTCTGGGAACAGTATAGTGAGTGGAGTGCTTATGGAGCTGCGGTTCCAATCATCCTCGACAACCATGAAACTGTACTCCAGTACTATGTTCCATACCTATCTGCTATCCAAATATACACCAATAAGTCTCTTCCTTGTTTGAGGTCAGTGGAAAATTCCATTATGGCTCTGTGATGCTTCACGTCATGCAAATTTTGGGGAACCATAACGTGAGCTGTTGTTGACTTTATCATGCAGGATGTTGCTGGAAGAGAGCGAGAGTGAATCTTTTAGTGATGACAGTGAGAGTGATAAGATGTCGAAGTCGTGGGATGCATTGTCAGAAGATTCCATGATTAGCCAGGACAGTTCATTGCCAGGAAAGGAAATCCTGGGTCAAATTTACCTTCAATATGTAGAGTATGGTTCCCCTTATAAAAGGATGCCCCTCGTGGACAAGGTAAAAATTTGTGCGCTACTGATTCTTGTTGTGTCACCGCTGATTCCACTTCGACAAGTTGCAACTGGACTGTGTTTAACCCACTTAACTATAGGTATTCATTTTTTCTAATTTTTTTCTAAATAGGTAAATGAACTGGCGCAACACTTTCCCGGTTTGATGTCATTCAAAAGTGTGGAAATGTCACCTGCTAGCTGGATGTCTGTTGCCTGGTATGTACATTTCTCTCCTTTGATATTTGGAATACTTGGAAGTCTCTAGAAACACTTGGCTTATTGGGATCATTTGTAATCCTGTGGTGGAGTTATCAATAGCATCTACTTCAGTACATTGGATAATGAGTGCATAACATTCAAGCCAATCTGTTGAATTTTACTTGAGAATTGATCACTATGAACATATTTTATCTGGCAGTTTCTGGTTGGAGTTATCAACCTAAGAAATATATGCTTCCGTTTCTGTTTGTTCTTTTGCACCACATAGAGATGGCTATTTTTCTATTCTAATTCATACTGTATATGTTGCAAAATCAGGTACCCTATTTATCCCATTCCAATGCGAAATGTTCAGGATTTGTCGGCATGCTTTCTGACTTATCATACTATCTCTGCATCTTTCCAAGGTCTGTATTTTTCTGGAAATCATGAGATGGTCAAAGCACTTCATGCACTTCTTATGTAAATTTATTGTTTTTAATTGTTGTTGTCAGTCGTTTGGAAGATAACACCTTGTGAACAAGAAACCTTTCCTGGCATTTTGATTGGTATCATTTAAATAAAAAAATACACTATTATGCTGGCTTATCTGCAAATATATCATGATAAAATAACACATAGTAAGTATTACACGTATAAGAGGAGAGGCAGGTGGATGGGCAGTGGTGATCGGAAGACGGTGCTCCATGTCAAGAAGATGAATCACGAGACCTGAAGAATCGGGTCTTTTAAAATAAACATCCTTTCTGTTAATCGAATCGGACTGGATTGTCCAAAACAGTTATTCACTTGTGGTACACGTTCATTGTTTTGGGAATAATTTTCTTCTCTTCTTCTATTATATAGTGCAACATGCTTACACCTTCTGATTGCTTTTCTGTGAATCTAGTGTAACAACATGTTTCTCATAAAACTTTAAATTAAATCATCGTCATAAGCTAGTGTTCTTTTTTATATACTAGCTGCCTTCATAGATTCTATGACACAAGATAGCTAATAAATTTTACAACAATGTCGTAATGTCTCAACTATTTGGGCTTCAGCAATAGGGATCTTTAGCTGCCATTGAGCTAATTAAAAAAAAAATCACATTCTTAGTTAAATTAAGAGAACTTAGATTATTTTTTTTATAGCTAACAACTTTTATTTTACTAACTGTATCTATTTATTTGATGCTTATACATTCTAGAAGTGGGATCATCTATGATTGGATGTTCTGTTAGAAGACATGAATTTTGACTTTAAAGATAGATTATAATCCCAAACATGCTTGATGTCCTTTAATTTGCATAGGGTTTTTGTTAATTTGAGTATCATACATGTCACTTTTTTGCATTTGTCAACCTAATCGAGCAATTCCAATAGTGTCGCTCGTCTTACTAGCTTTTCTTGTTATGTGGCACTCTTGCAGATAATGTTGTACCTGGGGACAGTGCAAAAGACTACTGTCCCATGGTAGCTAAAACAAATAAATGGGAGCAAAAGAAAGGGAGCAACTCTGTTACTCTTTCACCATTTGGTCTATCCACCTACAAAATGCAGGGGCGCATATGGAGAAACCCGGACACTTCAGATACCGAGATGATGGACAACCTTTACAATGCTGCACAATCCTGGTTGATGCAGCTTAGAGTTGAACACCATGACTTTGAGTTCTTTGCCACTCACTGATTGTAAATATTCCTCCTCAAAGTAAGTTTCTGCATACCACAACAGCATCGCCCTGCTGGATAACTCTAAGCTTCAGAGTAGGTTGAAGGGTTGTGGTGAATCCAACCTTTGCTTCTTGACCAAAAAGAGCTGATGCCATACTGAGCCTGAGTGTAGGTTTTAGTCATAAACCTTTAGTTCACCTTTATGCTAAGGAGTTGATGTTTGTTGTTTTGACATTTTGGTTTGCCTTTGTATGAGGAGGTTTCCTCCTCAGCCTGGAAATGAGAAGAAAGAAATCTTCAGCTGTCTGGCATCTGCTAATTATGTTTTTGTTCTGCAAATGTTATTTTGGTGGTCATTTTTCTCATGTTGTTTTTGTGTAGAGAAGAGGGTCAAAGTAGATATGAAGGCTTAAACCACATATTCCTTCCATTATCTTCCTCATCCCAACTGTATATAGAAACAAACAGATTGGTTGCAAATAACAAGAAATCACAAGTTTTGATTTGCATCAGCTGCCTCTCTGCTTGTTTAAAGCATGCAATCCATGGAAAACATAGAACTGAAAGGAAACAGGGTTCTCTGGTTCCCAGCTCATTATGACTAGTAGTAATTTGCCTGAAAACAGCAGGCAGAGCTTGGGCTAATCGTTGTTACTACAAAACTCAGAAGCATAAATTCACAGCAAAATCTGCAGCAAGACAAGCCGCAGCCATTTTCTCGCATTATGCATGAATTATTTCACGATGCAGATCTTTATGACAGAAGCAACACCGATGCGGTGTAGTGCAACGATGGAATCACCTGGCTTGCAGAGTCGTTTATCCACTGCCGCCTTGAGTGCTGCCTGCAGGATCATCTCTGTGGACTCGGAATCGGTAGCCTTGGCAGAACCCTCCGCCAGCAGCGGAACAAGACCCCGATAAATGAGGCTGTGCCTTGCGGGACTCTCGTCGCTCACAGTCCAGTCGAAAGAGTCTGTCGTCAGCACTGGAACCACCACAGACAGGATCGGAACTCTAGGCCGGTACTTGGCCACCAGCTTGGCCGTGGTGCCACCACGAGTCAAGACGACGATCAATGTGGCCTTGGCCTTGTTAGCTGTCCGGACTGCTGATGATGCAAGGCTCTCCAATGGGCTCATAGGAAGAGGAGCAGACCTTATCATCTCCTTAAAGATGGCATCATTGTCAAGGGAGGATTCTGCCTCAATGCATATCCGAGCCATGATCTTTACCGCAATCTCTGGGTATGCACCAGCCGCACTTTCACCGCTGAGCATGACACAGTCTGTGCCATCCAGAACGGCATTTGCAACATCGGTGGCCTCGGCTCGTGTGGGACGAGGGGACTTGATCATGGATTCCAGCATTTGAGTGGCTGTGACAACAGGTTTGCCAGCAAGATTGCATTTGTAGATCATCATCTTTTGGGCGAGGAAGATTTTCTCGATCGGTATCTCCATCCCAAGATCACCTCGGGCAACCATGAAGGCATCTGTCTCTCTCAGTATATCATCGAAATTGATCACACCCTCCTGGTTCTCAACCTACATGAACCAATAGCAACATCAAATATGTGAATCATTGTGATTTTTAAGCATGAAAATTATGAAGCCAAGAACTTCCAGCATTAAGCTCAGGGGATCACTAAATCATCAATCCAAGACTTCCCTAAGAAGGAACAACATAATGCTTAAGCAACTCTCTGCACCAATAAATCGTTAGAATTTCTACTGCAAGTTCCTATGCAAGCGAATTAAAACCAGCACTAGAAGCAAGAAATCTAAAAAATCTGTAAGTTTGTAGCTTGGTGTTCACACACCTAAATGCCTAGAGATACATATGCATTTGCAAGAATGACTAAAGTCAACGATTAATGCTTTGGAAAATAATGAGGCAAAACAGACCAGAATGATAAAAATATGAAGACAGTTTGGGTTTGAAATGCTGACCTTTGACATTAACTTTATGTTTTTTGTGTGAGACCCTAGAACTTCTCGAACAGTAACAAGATCTGAACCTTTACGGACAAAGGACAGGGCGATCATATCAATTTTGTTGGGAACACCCCATCCTAGGATGTCTTCCTTATCCTTCTCTGTCAGTGTGGGGAGATCCACCACGACACCAGGTAAATTGACATTCTTCCTCTCACCTAACTTTGCAGTATTCTCACAACGGCATCTTACAGTTCCAGCATCTGGGTCACATGACAGCACAGTCATGGTTATCGTACCATCTGAACACAATATGGTGTTTCCAGGTTTCAAGTCTACAGGAAGCTTCTTATAACTCATAGAAATCATGTTTTCATCGCCCTTGATGCTGTAATCAGTGCTGATTGTGATTTCATGACCCTCCGTAAGTTGGATAGGTTTCCCATCCTTCAGGAAGCCAGTGCGAATCTCAGGCCCCTGCGACAACACAAACAAGTTAGTATGAACTATGCAGATTGATTAATGAAGTGAAAAACAAAACAAATATAGCTTGCAGAAAGAACATTAAAAAAATTCATTATTTCCTTTTCACTCATTTCAATCCTCAAGCCTATAATTTGATTCATTAGCATTCGTTTTCCTGTGGTGACTAACATTACTCAAATTCTGTTATAAACTAATCAGAACATAACTCTATAGCAAAGTACAAGTAGACATGGAGTTCTACATTAACCAACACAAACCTCTAACCCTGACAAGAGGTAAGCCTCCGGGAAAAAGATCTAAAAGTAAAACAATTTTTGAAAAATTCAATCCCCTTGTTCTCTTAACTGGAAGTTAATAGAGGACCCTAATTGCAAAGTAAAGCCCGGGGAGAGAACAGAAACAAATGCTCACTGCTCAACAATGAACAGTAGAGCTATTTAATTGGCATAGAGCAAGATGGAGTCATGTTCAGATCTCTAAGATGGCAGCACATAAATAGCATCACTAAACCCTGGAAAGAAGTTTGAGACTTTGAGTAATCCCTAAACTATGCTTATCAAGAAAATTAGGGTAAGACAAGGTTTTGTAATATCACTAGCTCCATTAATAACTCGATTATGATCAAGGTTAGCAATAACTTATCAAGTAGATCATCCACCTAATTAAACACAACAATCAGTCAATCTGATATTGTAAAGAAAATAATAGGTGGTATGGGAATCAGAGACAAAACAGATGTCAACTAGAACATCCTACAGTCAAGTAATTTCAACTTGACAATGTGTCATTAGCCCCATTGATGAGCATAATTCTCAAACAATGTTCCACAAGCAGTGAAACATGTAGCCCCTTGAGACTAAAAGTTATTAGATCTAATCAAGTCATTAGATCTGTGTCTAACTCTGACAGGACAAATTATATTTTGCTTAGTCAGTCAAGCTGAAAAATTATGAGCTATACAGTTATTTTAAAGGATTCAAGGGAGAACTTCAGACAATAGGACTTTCGGCAACAGCCGTAGAACAAGTATACTACTATACTGTGGATAGATGAGAAAACAGATCTCTCGTGTGAAGAAAAAGGTTTCAAATGAAGCTATATGATGTGACAGTTTGAAATCCAGATGTATCTTCTAATTAATTGAATGTTCTTTTAAATCTCACTTATGGAACCATATTTTCCTCCTGATTGGTGGTTGACTAAAAAAGGGCTCCTCGAACAGATCATTTGCCTCAAGTCTCCAATAGAGAACCACCCACAAGATTTCGGTGCTTTTGAATAGTAGTGATAGCAATTGAAATGATGAAGCATATTTATTTTGTCAAAGTAGCCCTTTTACTTCTAACAGTTAAACTAAGCTCAATGATCTGCACTTAGCAAGCAAGCCCAGAGGATTCCAAATATCCGATCAATATGCATGACAAATAGTATACCCC